TAGATTCCACATGTAAGTAAGACCATACAGTATGTATTTTTCTCTGTCTGCATTATTTTACTTAGCAAAATGTCTTCCACATTCAACCACATTATCCCAAAGGCAGGATTTCCTTCCTTTTTAAGGCTAAATAATATTTCATTGCATATATGTATACCACATTTTCTTTATTCACCTGTTAATAGACACTTAGGCTGTTTCCATTTCTTGGCTGCTGTGAATAATGCTTCAGTGAGCATTGGAGTGTAGCTATCTCTTCAAGGTGCTGATCCCATTTTCTTTGGATATATAACCAGAAGTAAGACTGGCTGGTCTTGTGATAGCTCTATTTTACATTTTTTGAGCAACCTCTGTACTTTTTCCAAAATGACCATACCTATTTATAACCCCAACAATGTAGGTTTCCTTTTTCTCCACATCATCACTGACTCCTGTTATCTCTTGTCGTGCACACCTGTTAGGATGGTTATCATGAAAAAGATAAGAGATAACAAGGAGAATTTTATTTTTCAATTGAAGAGTATTAACCCAAAGTCATTTTTATCAAATAAATTTCATCTAACTTATTTCTATTTTTTTTCTTTTATATAAAAGTCTGTTTAAATTCAATTTTTATCCTACAGGTATTATGTACCCTTCTGGCTTTGGAATTCTCTAAAAGGGGGCACACACCCAATTTAGTAAAAGAAAGAAAAGCAGTTGTCTACTTCTAAGTATCATCACTAACGAAGTACCATGTTGTGCTCAACACTACCTAGAAGCATAAGGGAGGTTTGGGCATATAGAATGTAATTATTAACCTGAGTTGGACTTTACCTAGAACACTGGACCTACATCCTTCTACTTCCCCTGCCCCTACTTGTGATCTGTGTTTGTCATAGCACAAGTCCTCAGGACTTTAAATGCCCATCAAGAGATACCACCTTAGAAACATATTACAACCAAATGTTGCAGCTCCCTTCCTGAGAGGTGTCAACATGTTCTTTTTGTTAAATAGATCACCAACTGCTAGACTATGTATGTCCAAAAACATTCTATGCCATATGTTCAGAACAGTGCTGGACCCTATGTGCAGCACAGAAGTATACAAAATAAAGAACACATCCATATCCTTATGGAACTTACAACCCATTTAAGAAAATGGCTTATGAGAATAACAAGAAACATTACAATAGCTACCAGTTATACTAAAGGGATGTCAGGTGCCATGTTAAGTCCTTTATACATATTTTATAGGACTTACTTTATACTTGATGTATTGTTTACTCAAAGCAAGCTGTTTAAGTTAGGGATTATTTTCCTGATTTTTTTTTAAAAGGAAACTCAGGTGCCCAGAACAAACAGCCTAACCAGGTTTGGGTAACTACAAAGCTCATACTCTAATCACTGTACTATCTGGATTCTCAATGAGTATATTATCAATCAGATGCTAAATTGTAAGACACAGATAAAAGCTAAGAATGGCAAAGAGTGAAACGTGAACATATTGACTAGACGTCACAGGATGAGGTGTTAGGAGGGAGGCTAGACTTCATTTGACTTTAAAGAATCATATAAGTACATAAAAAGAAAGGGGCTGTGTATTCTAAATGCCAAATTATATAAACTTTGTGCAAAGGTCAGAAGGCAAGAAAAGCATGTCATGATCAGAGAGACAAGAATCAGATATGTGATATGTTCCAACATGGATGTAGGTCTAAAATATTTTAATTTTTCATATTTTCATATCAATGTGCAAATATGCTTTAGTCTATATAATGTTCAACTCAATAATGTCAACTTTAATTTATTTCAAAAGACTTCAGAAGCCTCTAGAAATGGATGTGTTTCATAATGTTATTATAAGTTTTAAGGGTAGATAAAGAGAGGAATGAATTACATTAGTCTACCTTATTTTATTATCAAACCTTATTTAGTTTTACTCCACAAAATGAAAGCTCTAAGGAAATCTCTCAATTTATAAGCACTCAAATTAATACATGAATCTGGGATCGATATAATAGCTGGAACTTGCTATTACCATTCCTATGTCACACCAACTAGGACGATGAAAACCAAGCAGTCCAAACAGATAAACTCCAAGACTGTATCTGCCTTTCGATAGTAAGAACCAAAAGAGTCTCCAGGTTCTCCAGTTAATCCTGCTTTGTCATCCATTTACTTCCAGCTGACTCATTCCCATAAACCCACCACCTTACCTATCACAGCCTCCTCTCTCATCTTTTCCAATCAAAGCTATTTCAACATTTGTCTTTTTGAAAGTAGGAAAATGTAGAGATGTTTGTGCCCCGACCCAGCAAAGCTGATGCACTGGCACTCACTCTTTTAAATAAATACTAAGTTCAGAAACTTGGGAAAGAAAGCACATTAAACCTCAGAAAAACAGAGGTGAGAGAATGGAGTTATGTACTCCAGTAGTCTACCTGGTGCTGAGAAAGAAATCTCTCACAAATTATGTCAAAAATATCATAGAAGGGAACAGAAAATAAAACCTAATGAATGACTCCAATAAAATAATTATAGTCAATTCATTGGGCATCCATAGTTCAGAATTAATACTAGCAGTTTCTGATTGTTTAAAACAAAATAGATAGAATAATAAAATGTTAGGAGAAAACCTCAATAATACATAGGGCAAGGTACAATCTCTCCTCCCTTGGTATCCAGGAAACCAAAGGCTTATGCTGTTTTGAATTTTAAATGTGTAGCAAAACACAATGATTTTAATTGCCTATAATCTGAGGTCAAACCTTTTGGCATGGTTCTTTGTTCACAGCAACACAACCACCAATAATATTTACTGAGCATTTGCCATGAGTCAGATACAGTTGTGAGCACTGGAGAGCACACAGCATTAAAGGTGACAGACAAGGCCCTGTCCTTATGGAGCTTATGTTCTGTCCCAATGCAGAATGATAATATGGTTAGACCAGAGAACAAACCATGACTAATTCTCTAACACCAAGAATACAGCCTTATAAAGAGAAAACTTTCTTGCTAAATTAGCAGTTTTATAGAGACCTGAATCTTTTCCATTAGAAGAAAAACACTTTCTAGTGTGCACTTAATCAGGTTTTGGAGCTTTAAAGGAATGGAATGAGAGATAAAAGATAAATCCCACCAAGCTAGAGAAGCGCTAACGTTCTGACCCTTTGACCCTGCCCATCAACAAGACACAACACTCCAGGTTTGCAGTCAGACTTAACTTAGATTTGAAGCCCAGTTTCATGCCTTATTAGCTCCATGACCTTAGGCATGTTACTTAACTTTCTTAACAGTTCTCTCATCTGTAAAATGGTGCTAATAAAAGCCACCCCACCGCACTGTTATAAGCATTTAAAGACTTCATTCATAAATGTTTAAATCATACAATGTGGCATATTCTTTTCATTTAATAAACAGTATAGATGATTTATACATGCACACACACACACTCCATGTGCTCTTTCCTTCATGCACATATAATTTACCCATCTATCCTCCATGACATTCTCCCAGAGCTCTATCCTTCTGCCCTTGAGGCATTTACCTTCTTCCAAATTCACAATTAGCTAATAAAAGAATACAATCACTGAAAATGTGTTAATCAGAAAGGATACAGTGACTACTGCCTGCCAGCTCAAATACCCCTCCATGGTAAAATATGGTTTTGAAAACGAAACTGTACTAAAAATTGCATAAGTCAGAGGAGTGACTCTGGTGTGAATGCTTAGTAGCATCCTCTGAGTTTCTTGCAGTAACAGTAACCATCAAGTGCTAATATTTAAACTATCATTAATTTTTTTAAAAAACAAAACTTAAATGGATACTGTATCCTTTTTCATGAAAATTAAAGTATGTGCGAAAATAATGTATTTGCCCTGGAACATTCTATAAAACAAATATAACCCCTAGGAAAATAGGGCCACAGAAAGGTTAAACGTTCATGTAACATCCGTGATAGAACAATACCTAGAACACAATTCTCTTTTTCACCCAATAATTTTTGACCATATCATGTTGACTTAATGAGATTTAGCTAAATATAGAAAATCCTTCTTTGAAAACCTGTAACCAAAAGGATCTAAAACTTGTGAATTAGGCAATAGCAAAAATGTCACACCCTTTGCTATACTAAGAGGAAAGTCTCTCAAGTGATCGACTCGATGCCTGGCCATGCAAGTCAGACATTTAGTCATTTTTCTAGACGCTATCCATCATTGAGCACATTCCCGAATTTCATGCAACTTAATTTAAACGTTTAACTGGCTATTCTGATGGGAATAAACCTTTGAGGAAGTAAAAGCTTGACAATGCTGACACCTAGTGGCTGTGAAGAAACTGGAGCGGATCCAGCCTAGGAAGAGTAGTGCAAAACGCAGCATTTAATCATGATGGATATTAGGTTATAAAATACCAATTCTAAAACAAACCCTATAAATGTTTATTTTAGCTCTCTATTTATCTCAGGGCCTACAAAAGGAGGCAATAAAAAACTTGCATCTGAAAAGTAAATTTTCCTTCAAGTTCCACACTTAGCAAATTTTTTACTCATCTTCAAAGATCAAAGAAAACTAAAAACCAGTTTATATTTTGGCATATTTATGACTATTTTCCTTAATGTTGCATGTACACCCTCAACCTTATCTTGGTCTTCAGGTGACTTTTCTCCCCGGGTCAAATATAAAAGCCATCTGGCCAAGCCATTATAGAGATTCCCTTTATGCCGCTGAAGCATCCCTAGTCAAAGGATAGCTGGATCTTCACAAACCAGCAGGAATTTTCCTTAAGAGAGGCATAAGGACACATGTGGAAACCCCTAAAGTACACATCTAAAAGCAAGGACCGCATTGAACACTGTGGGAAGCCGTATGAACACAGCAGATCAGCACAGCACAACCTATTTCTACTCTAACCATTAGAAGATAAGTTCCCTAGGACCCACCTGCACCTGTGACAGGCAGGATAGCAGGAAGCCTAAAGTGTTCATCTCCTCCACCAAGGAGAGCTCTGAATCCTACCTGCTGACGTTTGAAGGCTAAATAATCCAAATTTTCCAACTCCTTCCCAAGCTTCTGGTAGGTTTTCTGGAGGTCAGATTTGTTGGCAACATTTTTGAGAGACTCAAATGTCCTTTGAAACTGAAATTGAAAACAAAAGCAGGTCATTAGGATAGCAGCATATTTTTCTCAAATTCTCAACTTGATAACACAGAGTCGATAATGAGCCTCAGTTTCTCCCATTCATAATACAATGGTAACAAATGCTGGCTAATTATTGTTTAATGAAAAATTAGGGATACTTATAAAGAGTTATAAATCATATTCTAAGTATAACCAAGATTATTGCAGAAATGAGAAGCCTGGTTTAGTCCTCATTCTAACAAAAGAGCATACTTCATTTAAAAAAAAAAAAAAGAAAAACTTCATCTTTTAGGATACACTTCTGCTTTTAAATTTTAATAAAAGAGTACAGTGCATGTATAATTTCAAATCATAATGAGGAAGCATTAAAAAGTGTTACATTTCAATCATGGAAACAAACAAATTTTTGAAAAAGTAGTTGCTTACATGATATTTTGCTATAATGATATATGATCTGGCTTGCCTCTAGAAAAACATCTATGCAGAATAGGTCACCCAACAGACTTCAGCAAGGAAGATCTTTCAGAGCTTGTATTTTGAGAAGGAAGAAAAACTTAACATTTTGATGATCAAAGCGTAAGTGGTATGTTCAGCAAACATTTATTCATTTCTGCTCTATAACACAGATGAGCTACGAACAGATGAGTTATGATCAGAAAGAGAGTTCTGATCAGTTCTGCTGAATCAGAATGCTCCCATTCTCTTTAAATCAGATCCTAGATAAATACAAAGGTGAAAAATTGCAATGAATCACAGTCTGCTACTATTAATTAATTAAGCAAAGGAAGCTCACAAGAAATTGGATTCTTGGTTTATTTTAGTAAATTAGAACATACTTTGGAGGGTTAGTGATTGAAAATGTCAAGTAATGTAATTAGCAAGACATTTGCATTTGCTCTCTCTTTATGTCATTTATTTTCCATATTCTCAGTCTGTATCATTAGACAGATTTCTACAGATAGAGACTTCACTATCTTAAACAAACCAGAACTCCACCATGACTATGATGCCATGAGACAAGCTAATAAGATTTTATAGAATAATTAAATTTCCAGGGAAATGATTTGACCCTTACTATATCAAACTCTATGAAATAAGTCATATTAAAATGGCATTCTACTGAATTAAATCCTTAATTTCATGAGAGCAACATGTTTATCTCAATCCAAGGTGACAGAGGGGAAATAAATGGGAAATAACAGTGCTAAGCTTCCATGGCAGGACAGTAAATTAAACTCAACACGTACTCATTTAGTACCTACTATGCACAAGGCCCTATGACTATAAAAGACATTTCCTTCCCTGAAGGAACTTAGACCATTGAGAAACTAGACATGAAATTCGGAAATGAGATGGACAATGACATTTACTGAGTGCCTGCTCAGCCCCAGGTACTTTATGCTTTCAAATTTAATCTTCACAAGAACCACAGGAGTTCTTATTTTTCTTTTCATTCTACAATTGAGTAAAGTGGGATTCAGAATGTTTGACTAAACAGGGTTTTACTACAACATTCATGTTCTTTCTACTCCATCTTTAACTCTAACACAAGGCAAAATAGTAAAGAGAGTGCAAAAAAAAGATAAAGGTAACATTGGTGAAAACTCAGAAAAACTGATACCGACTGAGGGACTCAGACCACATAGAAGACCCAAGAGAATCTGAATTGGGCCCCAAAGGACAGGAAGTCTTTTCAGAGTCTGACATAGACACCAATTCCACCCATCACTTTAAACACAGCCAAAATCAGTTCATTTTCCCCCACTTGTAACAAAATAAACAAGTTCCTTTCAACATAACTTTATTGACCTTTATGTGAAATATTTATCATATTGTATGATCATTTCTGTGACTTGCCCATTTCTTGGTTTATTCTATGTTCAAATCAAACTAAAACCATATCTAAGATTCTAAAAAATTTAAGTAATTTTATCTATGATTTCATTAATACAAGTTATTTTACTGACAAATCCATTTAACTCTAAAGCATGTTTTAACCCCTGCACTTTGTCTTCCTAGGAAAATTAGCTCTACTTCTTAAATATTTCTTCTTCATATTTATCTCTGTGAACTTTATAGAACTCCAAATGGAATCTTAAGAGCAAACACACTTGTAAAAAGTGTTCAAAATAGTAAACACAGAAAACCAACACTTCCAAGTAATATGTCCGCGGCCAAAGAAGAAATGGAGAAAATCCAATAACAATACATCATCACAAAAAAGTTCTAAGGGTCAGAGTTTGCATAATATGGAGATTTTGGCTTGAATTTTTGTTATCAGGAATGATATCCTCAATTTATTAGTAATAAAGAGTTCAAAACACTCTAAAACCATGATAATTTCATTTAGTTAAGCAGTTTTTGCTTACAACAACAATTGTCAAGGAGAGGTCATACGAAACCCGTGATGTAGCTTTGGCTTAACTCCCTATTAAACACACCCCATACCCATCTGCATACATGTACACTTAAAGATGCTAAAGAGTAAAAGCAATAATCTTACTTTGCAAATGATGCTGAGGTATGGAAGATAAAAGTTAGGTTGAGGTCTAGACTTTAAAGAGCATTCACTTGCTGTACAGAATCTCTGGAGTTTAATTACAAACCATCATTAGAGTGAACCAGCAACCAACAGAATGGGAAAAAAATTTTGCAATCTACCCATCTGACAAAGGGCTAATATCCAGAATCTACAAAGAACTAAAACAGATTAACAACAACAAAAAAAAAACCCATTCAAAAGTGGGTGAAGAACATGAACAGACACTTTTCAAAAGAAGACATTTATGAGGCCAACAACATATAAAAAATGCTCATCATCACTGGTCATTAGAGAAATGCAAATCAAAACCACATTGAGATACAATCTCACACCAGTTAGAATGTCGATCATTAAAAAATCTGGAAATAACATGCTGGAGAGGATGTGGAGAAATAGGAACACTTTTACACAATTGGTGGGAGTGTAAATTAGTTCAACCATTGTGGAAGACAGTGTGGCAATTCCTCAAGGACCTAGAAATAGAAATTTCATTTGACCCAGCAATTCCGATACTGGGTATATATCCAAAGGATTATAAATTGTTCTATTATAAAGACACATGCACACATATGCTCGTTGTGGCACTGTTTACAATAGCAAAGACCTGGAACCAACCCAAATGCCCATCGATGACAGACTCCACAAGGAAAATGTGGCACATATACCCCATGGAATACTATGCAGCCATAAAAAAACTATGAGTTTGTGTCCTTTGTAAGGACATGGACAAATCTGGAAACCATCATTCTCAGCAAACTGACACAAGAACAGAAAAACAAACACCTCATGTTCTCACTCATAGGCGGATGTTGAACAATGAGAACACAGGGAGAGGATACAGGGAGAGGAGCAGCACACACTAGCATCTGTTGAGGGGGAATAGGGAAGGGACTTCGGGGGTTAGGGAGGTTGGGGAGGGATAACATGGGGAGAAATGCCAGACATAGGTGACGGGGTGATGGAGGTAGCAAACCACATTGCCATGTATGTACCTATGCAACAATCCTGCATGTTCTGCACATGTACCCCAGAGCCTAAAGTGCAATAATATATATATATATAATAAATATAAAAAATAGAATATAGATTACATAAAATTTATATATATATATATATATATATATATATATATATGTAATTATCTTACCAGAAGAAAAAAAGCATTCACTTGGCTTGAAGATTTTTCTAATAGGCCACAATGCTTAATCATTGAAACAAACCTCCAAGATTTTCTGTATTTGTTCAGTGCATGATAATTTTCTTATATTGATTATTTCTCCAAGTAAATGATCTCCCAGTTGGAAACAAGTTGGGAAAGGAAGCACAATTAATTGAAGAGATTTTTAATATTCCTGGATTTTACTTGTTCAGAGTTTTGAGTGGGAATTTAAAATGATCAAAAAACCCCAGAATAACTTATTGAAACTTAAATTTATCATGTGTTTTTCTTAATTCATTATAAACCAAACTCAAACTTTAAAAAGCTCAGTGAATTAGACTAAACCCAAAACAAACCTTGGGCATATAATATAAGAATGAGTAGATGGAAACAATATCCCTAAGCCCAACACTTGCTGGAAAAGTAAGCATTGTCAACATTTCTCATCAAATTATTTCGGCTCAGAAATAATAATAGTAATCCACCAAATAAAACAACAGAAACCATAATTGCTCATCTCACATTCAAACAGCTGATAAATTGTTTTGCAAGAAAGAGAAGCATAGAAAAGGTAACAGGGAAATGCCTACTTTCTCTCAGCAGTCCCTTTTCCCAAATACATTTGTTCTCCTTTTTCCTGACAATACATATATAAATAAATCTAAGCCAATGTTCTATACAAATTATGCATCCAATGAGTTTGTGTAAATTATGTAGCTTCGTGGAGTAATTTGAGAAGGATACGAAGAAATAGGCTGAAACAGCAGGAAAAAAAATGCAGCCAAGTATCTGGCAAATAAAGTTTTCCTCACCCTCACTGCCAGTGCCCTGGCTTCCTTTTGTAATCAGATTGATTGATTCAAATAACTCTAGAGCTCCAACGGCCTACTAATTCCCGTAAGTTAAAAACATAAAGTAGCATTGCTCCAAAACAAGAGCCAGCTCCACAGTCATCATTTTTTCTTCTTTAATATTTCATGCATTTATACAAGGTGCTGAGTGCTACCTGTAACATAAAAAGAAATCCCATGCTTGCAGCATTATGTGTACAAAAGGGTATACAATAAGTGCCTGATGGAAAGCATTATATCACCAAGTATGATCTTAGTGTCCCTAAATCGTCTGTTTGAAACCATGCCAAAAGATTCTGGAGATTAAAGCGGAAAGAAAGAATAGTCAAAAAATAATATATTGATGCTCTATAAATATTAACATTTAGAGTAAAAAGAAATTGTTTTAAGCACAAGAAATGGCTAATCGACCTTACTTAAATATGGCAACCACAGAACACTGAAA